GCCTTCAGCCGCGCGCGGCCTTCAGCCAGCCAGATAAACCCGAAGCTGCTGGGCGTGTGTGTGTGTCTGTGTTTACACCTCGCTTCCGCTTTGGCCCCTTCCTTGCCTGCCTGCCTGCCTCCTTCCCTCCAGCCGCCGTTGTCGCTCCCCCCACCCTGCCGCCGCCGCCGCCCCGGCCGGATCCGCGGTCTCGTGGAGTCCATGTCGCAGCTTGCGCCTGCTCCCCGTGTCCTCTTGCTCGGAGTAAAGCCCACATAGGAGACCCTTTGTTTGGGAAGGGCTAGGCCGGGAAGAGCGCTTTGGAAAGCGGCTGGCTTCGCCTCGCCATTGGCTGAGCCTTTTCTGGAGCCCCCCCCCCCCGCCTCGCCCCCCCCTCCCTCCAGCACGTCCCTAGTGTTGGCAGGCAGGGCTCGCTGTGCTTGCCGCTTAGTGCTGCTGCTGCTGCTGCTTTTAAAGCACCATGATAATAATACCCCAAAAGCAGCGTGAAGAAGTGCTACACTGTAGAGGGTTCTTCTGCAGAAGGAAGCAAGATGGCTACCTTGTGGGTTTTGCTATGAAGAATGCAGCGCCTAATTAAACCCGACTTTAAGAGGGGGGGAAGGTTATTTGTCCCTCCTTCCTCGTTTAACCCTCTTTTTCCGTTTTTGTTTTGATTCCGGGGACTCGATCGTCTAAATTCTCTTTCAGTTCCGTTTTTTTTTTTTGCAAGAGGAACCTTTATGGTTGTGTTTCAAGTCTTCTAACGTTACCAATAAAAAGAGAGAGAGAGACTGCTTTACAAATAATTTTCTTATCCACACCAGACTTATTCTGCAATTTGATGTTTTTCTTTAGGTGCTAACTGAAAACAAAAGGCCTCAGAGAAGAAAGCAAAGAGTTCTAAAGGTAATCTGATCATTGTGTTATTAATAATGCTATGCCCCAGTCCATTTGAAGAAGAAGAAGAAGAAACCCCACTGCTACCTTGCTAAGGAATAGGAAGTAAAGGTGTGCAGGTAGTAATGACATTGTGCTCCTCAGATTTATATATATATATATATATGGCTGACTTAAAAAAAAAAAGCATATTAACATTTGTCTTTCCCTCTGTATGGTAAAGTGTGTTTTTGTAGATATTTAACTCTTTGTGTACAAGATGGCAGGTTAAAGTCTAACCACTCTTGATGCATTGGAAATGTCTGATGGCACCCTTCATTCATGAATTGGCACAGTTCTTAGTGTGCATGGGTTTTTGTTTTGGTGCAAGCTGGACGTGAAGTGTTAGCTCTTGAATGCCGTGTTAAAGATGGGAGTATTGAAATTTGTTATAATTTTTTTTAAAATGTGAATGGTTTCTTGTTTCCTCACATTGGATGGATCGGTCTTAAACGATAGCAACATATGTTTCAGGCTGATTATTTTCATCGTTAAATGGATGTTGGACTGAAAACATTTCTAAATTCAATGGAGGGGTGTTTTTTTAAAAAAAGGTTGCTATGGGGTTGCTGCTGAAACGAAAATGAAGGACGAAACCTTCATGTGTATGTTCAGCATTTTCTCACGCACACATAACTGGTCCCTATAAATGGCAGCCCTCTTCTCTTCGGCAAGGCGGGGAATCCCTGTGCACGTATAGAGGAAATCCCTGCTAAGAATGGGGATTCCCCATCTCATAGTAGAGAATGAGGCCCCTCCCACACGTGTCAGAGCTCCGTGTGTCATTGGAGCCTTCCAGAGTTCTGGATCATGGCCGGTGTTTTTACAGTTATGTGCCTAAAGTAAAAAGGTGTTGTGCATGTGCTGGCACACTTTTGCTATTTGTTTATTTTTTGTCTGTGATATTGGCATAAAGTTGTGTTCTGTGATGTAGCCCTGGCGTTGCTATTGGTGTGCAGCATTTTGAGTCTAAGGACTGGACTGGAAAGTATATGAATTGAACGGAGGTCCTTCTGAGTTGGGACTACTTGGTGCGAATGGTGGAAATGTTAACGTATGCTGACTGTGCTGTTCGCGGCTCATTGTATAAAAATTAGATAAATGTAGACTATTAAGGTAACTATGCAGGTGTCTTCGTTGAAACCTATCCCCCCAAGTGTTTACAGAAAATCAAGGAACATTAAATTCTACTGAAAAATGAGACTTACTGTCTGACCCTATCCATGTTTAAGCACAAGTAAGCCCCATTGGTTTCATTTGAGCTTCCAAATTAGTGCTTAAGGCTGTTGTCCTGTGCACACTTAACTGTGCTTACAGTTCTATTCACAACGAGGGCAGTAAAGTATACTGAAGTTTGTCTGCAATGAGCCCATAACTTTTAACGTGGTAAAAAAGAGTGCTGATTATTTCCCAAATGTGAACATTTGGCTCCAGGACACTTGGCTGGTTTTGCTTTTATTTGAAACAATGCTCTTCTGTTAAGTTGGCGTGTTAGACATATACTTTTTGTTCTCCTTTTAATTGACAGCCCCAAAACTTGGTACGATTCTTGTTTGGATTCTTATTTCTGTTGATATCAACGAGATCTATTTCTAAGTGAACGGGATATGGATTCCAGTACAACCACCAAATTCCACTATGCTCTTGCATTGCTCTCATTCATTTTCATGCACGGGGGAAGAATTTTGTGTTGGATCGTGCTAGTTTTATTACTTTCTTGTGCCAGCTCTCGTGGTCATAGTGGCATATACTAGTAATTCACTTTGGGCTTGAGCCGGAAGGATGCAGTCCAGCTCTTTGAAAGTGAGTGACAGCATTGCAAGTTGTGTGTTCAGGTTAGGCATTGTGCATATTTGTGTTGCATAGCTCCCTGCAACAATGTTTAATCAGTCATGTCTCAGACCTGTGCAGGAGGTGGTGTTCTCATACTCGTATACAGCTTTGTACTATATATTAATGCATGTGGAATAATGTTCTCAATTAACTTACTCATGCAGATAGGAGTCCCTGTCCATTTCTAGGGTATTTCTATAAGAAACCTTCCTGGTAGGGCAATTGGGCAACCTAAATCCCAGTAGTTTAGTTTACTTGGGTTACGGTGGTGCAGCTCAGTAAATGTGACAAGGTGGAAAGAGATCATAAATACAGAAGGATAATGGGAAAATAGCTAGTCTGATTTTAGTTACCTTGGTGATGCATTGATATTTGCTGGGTTCTTCAGTAAGTCCTAGAGCAGGGGTGTCGAACTCATTTGTTATGAGGGCCTGATCTGACACAAATAAAACCTTGTTGGGCCAAACCATGTGTGTCATAAAATGTAATGCCAGGTAGCGGAGATATAAACTTTTTAACAGACACAAACACAAAGGATTTTTTAAACTTAAAATAAAAACATGCTTAAAACATTAGCACTCTCGCAATATTTTGTTTATTTAACAGTGTCTGATAACTGACACCGCTTGCTCTGAATTATTGCATCAAAATGTCTGCCGTTGCAATCTTGAGTATGCTGCTCAGGTGTGTATCTGTAAGCTGCAAACCTACAATGATGCAGCAGCAGCAGTACTGGATGAAGAAGCAGAAGACAGCCAGTTCCACTGCAGGCCTGATAGAAGCTCTCTGGGGGCCTCATCCAGCCCCCGGGCCGCATGTTTGACACCTCTGTCCTAGAGTGTGCTTGTAAGCCTTACAGTTATTGAAGATACATCCTTGTTTTACAAATCTGTTTTATGTGCTAAAGCAACAGAATGGCCTTTTTTAAACAGTAGCCTTTTAATAGTATCAATACCTTCATATCAATCAGATTCCCCCCCTCCCTCTCTCTTTCTATGCCAATTCACAGCAACCCCATAGGGGTTTCAAGGCAAGAGACGAGCAGAGGTGGTTTGCCATCGCTCGCCTCTGCATAGCAACCCTGGACTTCCTGGGTGGTCTTCGGGCTGACCCTGCTTAGCTCCTAATATCCAACCAGACTGGGCAAGCCTGGGCTCTCTGGGCCAGGGCAAATTTCTCCTATGTAAGCTTTAATCTTATAAAGTCATAGAATCACAGGGTTGGAAGGGGCCATCCGGGCCATCTAGTTCAACCCCCTGTTCAATGCAGGACCAGCCTAGAGCATCTGTTATTTTGAGGTACAACATATGGAAAACATGATGTCAAATGTATAGAACTAGAGGCAAGGTGAATACAGCTATAATCAGTTGCTGACCAGATGCATGTCAACACAGCAGGCTGGGTATGGCAGTGGCCAACCCTCATTCACCTTTTAGTGGGGAGACCAGCCTGAGCCCATATAAGTCTCCTGCTTGGTATACATCAAGGGCTGTCTCAAGGCAGGCTGTGTGGTGGTTAGAGTGCAGGACTAGGGTCTGGGAGACCCAGGTTTGAATCGTCACTCTGCTGTGGAAGCTTGCTGGGTGGCCTTGGGCCTGTCATACACTCTCAGCCTCATCTAGTTCACGTCTTGATTTCTGTGAGGATAAAATGGAGGAGCAGAGAATGATATGTTGCTCTGAGCTCCTTAGAGGAAAAGCAGGATAAATGTGGATGCAATAAACACTATGGCTGGGACCCCACAACTCATTTCATTTGTAGGATCCAAAGTTCTGCCAGTAGGCATGAAAGTGCTGCTAGGTTTTCTTAGGACATTAAGCCAGCTGTGCACCATCGTCGGGTTTCACACAATGCCATGAGTGTTCCAGTAATCACTAGGAAATTCACGAGCACTCGGTGTGTTTAGTGATTGGGATTGAAAAGTACTGCTGGGTGTGGATGATGTACCAGCCATGGTTGTTGCTGGAGTTCTCATTTTCAAAGTGTGATAACATCCCTATCTTTTGTGCATACATGCCTGCATGAAGTTCACAAAATAAGCAAACATGCTCAACAAGCTCTAAAGGCGGAATGGCGAAAGGCACAACCTTCCTCCAATAAACCAGCCACCATTAAACTAATAAGCGGCGGTGAAATTTATAAACTTGACAGAGAAACCAAAGCTACTAAGAGCTAATAAACAGCAAAACCCAGGCACAAACAATAAAGCAAGCTAAAAGCCCCGGTCAACAGGATATTGTCAACGTAGCATTTTAATAATGTTAGTGTTGACGTATGTCTAATCTGTCTGTTTCATTAATGGCACCACCACTGAGAATGTCCTCTCTGTTATGTGGCTGCCAGCCTGTGAAGGGGCGGGACATGTCGTAAGGGTCTCTGCTGCTGCTATGAAGGATTGGGCAGGTTCTAGTTGGAGAAAGCAATCTTTTCGAGTTCTTTAGGGCTTCAGAGGTCACCAGCAGCTTGAGATGCATCTGGAAACCAACACCTTTTGGCCCTACACTCTTCTGGAGTGAGCCCAGGCTTTCCCTGGGAATCTGGAAGGTTGCACAGAACTTTCTTATTATGCTTTGGTGTATCAGACCGTTCCCATATTTCTCATCGCTGTGTGTTTAGAATGCCTGATTCCTATGCCTTGTATTTAAGTTGTTCATGGCCTTGGGGGAAACTTGCAGTATACAGTATACACCTGGATTGAATTCCGAGAAATGAGCTTTTAATGTCTCCCTGAACACATGCCCAGAACAAATTGGAAGGGCATTTTTCTTCATCCAGCTGTTTGGAGGACAATTTCTTCCAGTGCTTCTTTGTGTACATGGTAACAACTAGGGAGAGTGGTGTTATGGTGTCTCAGCTTCTAAAGGCTTCAATTCAGATTCTACCTGAACTATAAAACCAGTGGATGATGCGTTTGGGCAGCAAGCTGGTTTCTTGCAGGTTTAATTTGCCGAACTGCAAAATGGAAGTTAGCAATAACGATTTTTTTCATAAGATGTCTATGAATATAAAATATTTTGCAGATGGGAGGAGAAGAAGAAGCAGATCTGAAAAATGGAACGAAATTCTCCTTTTATGAGACTTGAAGTTTCAAACCTTCCAATAAAAACACAGAGGGAAATAATTTACAAAAGTTTGAT